ACACTTATAACATTTACCAGTATAATATGCCTTAAATATATTATCACGATGTGTACAATTCTTATCATCTTCTACTACGCTATGGGACCCAATATGTTTTGGTGGCTTTTTTATTTCAACGGAGCATCTATTTGCATCTTCACAGTAATTTTTCAAAGCATCATCATGTATATTTGAATTTTGTTCTATTCTAACACCGGAGCATGAAGATGAACTATTATATAACCATACTTTAACATTATCACCGTCATGAATAAAATACACAGATGTGTTATTTTTATAATAATAACACTTATCAAATTCTATTACTGTAAATCCAACAGCATCACCATCTTCATTTTTTAATTCAGTAAAAACTAATGAGTCTTTAGCAAAAGTAACAACAAGGAATAGTACAAAGCGTAACATGTTCTTTTGATTTATTCATTATAAGCAATACCCATTAAATATTGCTATTTTTATCATTCAATTTTTTATTTAATCACCTCTCTGATAATCTTTTTAATCCATTTTTGCTAAAAATATTTTTTTAATTCTTTTATCTTATACTTGTGTCTATATTCATTCTACTCATTGACTTTTCTTCTTTTTCCAAAATATTATTAACTAAGTTCCATTAACAATAAACCACAAATGTCAGAATTATATAATTTGTTTTGCCTTTTTTATCAACTTTAATAAAAATAATTTAAACGAAAAAATATTTATAGAGGAAGATATCTAATCAAATAAAAATGAAAACAAAGAATGAAAACAAAATTGATTTGATATAAAGGATTTTATTGTATGTGAAATAAAAAACCGGAACACAAACTAAAAAGAGTTTTTTTATGTAGTATTTTCTATCTATTCTGCTTAAAAGATAATTTTTTTTTAAAGAAACACGTCTATTTTTTTATTTTATTCCTTTTTAGTTCAAAACAAATAAAAGATGTGCAATCAACAATAACTTAATTTATAAATTTACTCATAATTGTAGAAACAGAAAACTAGTACATCATATAAAATCTTTAAAACATAATAATAGAAAAAGACTAACAAAAATAATACAGTTATAAAAAAGTATTTAGTTATTACTTGATAACAAATCAAATAGGAATGAATATGAAGTAATTAGAATAATTAAACATAGTTATATTTTTAGTTTATTAATAAAAGAATGTTCATTTAATATCATCTTTTAATCCTAAATTCTCTATCAACAAAAGTTCTTTACTTTAAGTTACTTAAATATTTAGTTGCACTAATAACTGTTATAATACTTCTTAATCTATTTTTATTTGTTTATTCTGTTCTTTTATATAACCTTTTATATTTTTTCACGTTTATCAACTCCATTAACCTAATTTATTAAATTATTCAATATTATTATACTTGAAATTGTAGTTATTTTTAATAGTAGTTTTCTTTTAAGACACCTTCTTTAAATTTTAAATATTTTTATTTGTTTGGGTGTGTATTAATTTATATTTCATATTATTCACTTGTTAATGTTTATTTATCAATCTTTTTACCTTTTTATATGAATTTTATTTATCAATTCTCTAAATGTTTATAATTTAAATTTATTCAGACTTCATTTAATATATAGTCAAAGAATGGTTGTTGTTTTCTCTTTTATACTCAATAAACTTATTTTAAAATGACTTTTAAACACGATAAATATTGATTCAACTTTATTGTTATTTCTTTATTCATGTCTTCTTCATTATTATTGTTATTAGTTGCAATATTACTTCATTACAAAATGGTTTTGGATTATAACAATTATCTTAGTATTTTTTGGACTTCTTTTTTATTTCAAATATCGTTTATTATTAATTTAATTTGTTTTTTCTATCTTTTTAGTTTTTTTTCATTTATTTATTCGTATTATTAATGTTAATTATTATTAATTGAATAAAAGAGTATACAAATTAGTTCATTGGCATCATCTCTTGTTTATTTTATTATATCATTTGTAATTTTCTGATGTTTAGTTCATTTATTTTTCTTTAATATCATTTCTATAATTCATATTTAATTTAAACACCCACAATATTTATTATATTTCATTTGATATTATTTTGGTGATAATCTAACATCTTTTTGGATATAATTTCAATATATTATTCATTAAATTATTATATATTTTAGAATTAAAGTTTTGACGTTCATTATAACTTAGTTTTGTCTGTTACATTAAACCCATTTCAATTCTTTTTGATATTCGACTTATCATTTTAAACCTTTCATTGTCTTTTCTTATTCATACTAACTAACCTCTTTTTGTGTTGATGCAAATTGTTAAAGCATCATCATTTTTTTCCACAAATATAGCCTTAGTTGTATTCATTCATAACATTTATAGTAATGTCCACAATCCTTTTTTTTGATTCCTTTATTGTTATAATATGTATTATGAGGGAAACTCTTTTTACTATTTAAAATAGATTAATATTAACTACAAAATAACAAATGGCTTTTTTACAAGGTATTCTAAACATTCTACTTTAAGAAATTAATATTTTTTAATAATCCTTTATGTTATGACTAATTCAGTTATTTATTACAAAAGACATATTCTGAATATGAAAAAAAATTAAAGAGGTTTATTTGTTATATGTCTTATTTCCAGTAAACTGTTTTTGAATAAATTTTAATAGTTTTAATCGATTATTAACGTTAAATTCAATAAATAAAAAAACACTCTAATAAAAATGTTTTAAAAATTGAATGTTTAGGAAGAACAAAACACAAGATGTTATTAAAATCTTAACTTCACTTCAGCACTATTATTATAATAACATAGAAAAACATTAAGATAATAAGAATGCATAGTAAATAAATATAAGCAAAAAGGAATAATTTCTTATTGTTCTTCTTTAATTGATGATCTTAAAAATTCAACAAACAATAAATAGAATCTTCTTATTTTTCATATTTTATTGAAAATAAAAATTAATAAAAAAGAAAAATTGAGGAATAGCAGGAAGATCTTTTTTAATACTGAAAGTGTTATTTATGCCAAGACCAAAGAATATTGAGAAAGATGAAGATTATTTAAAGAAACAGAAACAACAATCAAGAACCCAGGAGGCTGCATTAACAAATTCATTTTTAGATATTTTAATCTCAGACTTTCATTTTGAAATGAAATATTCTCGAACTAAAGGAGCAACTAAAACAGTTAAAATGATTGTTCCAAGTCACCTTATTGATGGAGAAACCATTTATTCCAAAGAAGATATTATGAACATGTCTCATGAAATTTGTCAAACTGAAAAATTAGATTCGACAGCTACAGTAAAACAACAAAAAAGAAATGATGAGGCTAAATTTGCTAATGGTGTTTTGGCATTATTAAAAAGACGTGGATATACTTTTTGTGAAAAAAAAACAAGACCATGTCACAAAACTACAAGATTAGTTAGAGTATCATCTTTAACATTTGGATCAAAAACATACTCAGCAAAAGAATTAATTACAAAAGGAACTGAATTTGGATTTGCTGTTGCATCAATAATGAAAAATAAAGAAGAAATTATAAGTCAAACTAACTTAAAACAAAGTAAAGAAAGTTATAGTGATATTAAACGTCAATTAGAAAAAGAAAAAACAACTGTCCAAAGACAAAGTGATACTATTGAAGATTTAAATGAAAGTGATAAAGACATTATGATAAAAAACGTAGAGATTATTAAAAAAGAAAAAAATGAACTTTATACAAAAAATGGTACTTTAGTTTGTGAGCAATTTAATGAAATATCTCCTAACGATATAAAAAATTGGGCTGTTAATCCACCACTTTATTCTCCAATTCAACAAGAAAATATAGATAATAATACTGTTGAACTTCATCAAAATTTAGAAATTGAACTAAATGATTCTACAGAAACTGAAGACAACCCACCAAACTTTACTTCATACACACGCACTGAATCTAATCCAACTGCTTTTGCAAATGGTCATCCTAGTACAGATGGAGCACAAATTGGTTTTATTAATAGATAATTATTTGTTCTTTCTTTTAAATTTAAATTCTTTAATATTTTTTAATTTCTAATTCAATTAAATTTATTAAAAAAGAAATAATGTTTTTTTTTTTAATGTTCTTCTTCTATTCCAATAATTCCATTCTTCATATCATTTGCCATTCTTTCTAAACTTTTCATTTCTTCAGTTCCACTAGCAATACTATCTAATACTTGAATGAAATTTACAGTAAATCGTGTTCTTGTTTCTCCATTATATTCATCTTTTTTACAGATTAAATGGAATCTACATTCAATAAATGTTAGTTGCTTAAATAAATTTTCAAATAATTCTGAATCTTGTTCATTTATTTCATACATTTCATCAGCACTTTTTCCAATAATTTTTTTCATTTCTTCATCAAAGATAGTAACCCAAATACTACTAGTAGAATCTGCAATACTTGCACGCACAATAAACCTTCTCATAGGTTGAATATCTTTTTGACATTTCTCACAAAATGTAGAACCTTCAACAATCTTCTTTTTACAATCAGGACATGATAAATAACAAAACCCATTATCTACTTTAAACATAGTAAAATATCCATAAACATTTGCTTTAACATCTTCTGAAGTTTCACTTGTTTTTTCTTCAAGTTTTCTTAAACAATATAATTGGTCAGCTGTTCTAACATCTCCTGATTTAAATTCTACTGTAGTCTCATTTGCAAGATATCTTAAATCACTTACAGTAATTCCTTCAGGTGTGGTATGTTCTTGAATGAATTTATTTACTAAAGATGCTTCGTCATATTGTTCAATATCCGTATTAGAAAGTATTTTAGTAGCCTTAGTAACAGTAAGTGTTTTATATTTAAATTCTTTTAATTTTAATGAAGTTAACACATAAACAACTCCATTTTCCATATCTTTTGTTTTGTCAATATCTTCATTCCAAAAATCTACTTCAACAGCATAACTTGATTGATCCATAAATGTTAATGTAACTTTGGCTTTCTCATTTTTATATGTTTGTTCTGGTCCTTTATCGACTAAAAATGCACAAATATCATAAGTAGCATCTACAGGTGATTCAACTAAATCAGCAATTGGGACAATAGAACTAATCATTGGTACTTCATCAGAACTTTTTTGAATTATAGTGTATTTACCAATAATCATATCTAAATCAATCATCTTAGCACTTCTATATCCTTTCCCATTACTTTGTTTGTAATCAGCTTTAGTAATATAATAAGTTTCTCCAACTTTAATTTGGTCAAATTTTTCATCACAAACATCGTTAAAACAAGTGGCTTTAATTTCAGCACCATCTTTATCTTGAAGTACAAAACTAAATAAATTTCCTTTGGCATACTTAAATTTATCATTCTTTGATACTACCCTCCCTTTAATAATTAATTTAGACCCAAATGTGGTCAATAATGAAAATGGTGTAATCTTTCCTTTAGAAAGGTCTGCTGGTGCAGCTTGTTGATGTGAAACAGGAACACCAGTTCTCACAATTGGGGCAGTACCAATTTTATCCAAATGATCAATTTTTTCTAATGGACTGGTATTAATAAGCTTCTTTAATGTTGCATCAACAATCTCAAAGTTTGAAATTGCAACAACGAGGGTTTTACTAACGTTTTGTGGAACATGAACACTTCCTTGTATAACTTTAATAAGCATATAGTCTTTTAATCTCTTTAACAAGGCTGTGTCTTTGAGTTTGAAAATAGTTGTAATTTGGTATTTATTATCATGTATTTTTGCTTTTACTACGTCTTGTGTTTTTTCTACTGACTGAACGTTACTTACTTGAACAATTATTGGTTCTATAATCTTTCGTGCTCTTACTACGTCTGCTATCTTCCCTTCTGAGATACTCATCTTTTATAATTTTTTAGTTTTTTTGTTTTTATTTTTTATTTGAGGAATTTATCATTTTTTGTCTTTTCTTTTTTGTGTTTATCGATTAAATAATTTTTTCTTAATAATGTGTGATATATCACACATTATTATAATAATTGTCATTACTATGGATAATAACTAACATTCCAATTTATTAAAAATAAATTTGCTACAAACAAACTGGTTATGACTCGTCTTTTGTTTTGTAATAAATAAAGTGGTAAAGTTTCAAATAAAAAACGAATAAAAGCATTTTAATTTTTTTTAAATTGTACAAGAATATTAAATGATGTATCTT